ATCATTTATTATTTCCCGAAAGTTTGTTTGTTTGTCTTTTTCTTCGATGTCGTTGACATTCATGGCTATTTCAGTCGACAAATCAAAGCTATTCATTGGTGTAGGATCTATGTCCGCCATTGTGTCGGAAGAAGCAGTGCGAAGAAGCGATGATGTAGGGTTAAAGACAAAAACAATTTCAAAATGATACTCGAGTGGATCTCTATTTTTTTGAGTGGTTTTAATATAGAACATCAATTCCGTTTCACTGTGGGTCTGTCGAAGGTTGTGTATCACTGTGTTTGCATTCTGCGATAGTTGAAATGTATTTCTTTAGTATATTTGTATGTTCCAAAAAGTATTTGTATAGTTTGTTAGTGTAGGGTTTACCTGATCGTAGTGTTCCATTATTGTAGCAGCATTGGTTCCCAATAAGGTTTTTGCAGCTTCTTCGATAATACTTGTATNTTCCAATAAGTCTTTGTAAACTTTGTTAGTGTAGAGTTTACCTCATCGAAGTGTTCCATTATTGTAGTAGCATCAGTTCTCAACAAGTCTTCTACAGTTTTCCCAATAATACTTGCATCTAATTGTCCAGTTGTGTCTTCGAGGCGAACAAAAGCATTAACGCTGAACATAAAAAGCAAGTTGAATTAATGGTAGTCTATTGTTTAAATGATATTCGAATGAATAGAAATTTAAATATATGTTTGACGACACAATATACCGAGGTTCGGCTTTTGCGTGCTCGTATTTGCAGAAACGACATTTGTGAATCTGTCCCAAGTTTCCATTGAGGTTTTCTTACAATTGGTGCACGACATATACCAAAATCTCTGATGGATTGTGTTGATTGTCCAACAAGCTTTAATCCAATAAAATTTTTCATGTTGAAAAAATGTATAATTAAAGTGTGAATATAAATAAATGGAAAGACTATATATATATGTGTGTGTGTGTGTGTGTGTGTTTAATAATGTAGAGAATACCTNNTTTAATAATGTAGAGAATACCTCTAAATAAATTCCCAATAATTCTGCAATAGATGTGAATTAGTCGTCTTTAGGAGGTGTAAGCTTTGGGGGGCTTACAGAAATCAATGAGGCTCCATTCATAAGTTCGTTTAGGCTTTCAGAATTTGTGACACCCTATAGAAAAAAATAACTACTTTATATTGTACGTAAAAGTTGAAATATAATGTTTTTTTAATATTTTTCGGGGACAAAAGTATGTGAAAAAATGTTTGGGACCATTGTTTATAGTCTGCAACAATTGAAGAGTTAGCGTTAATGAAAATGTTGCTATTCACTTTAGTAAAGACTGTGATGTTTGTGGAACGGAAGAGAATAGTAAACATTACGTTAATTTTCTTTTGAGTATAATGTTTAAAATTAAATGTTAAGTTGAAGTTGTAGTTACCGTTGAAAGAGGAAACCCTAAGATTTGTAGCCCACACGACAGGTTTCATTGGTAAGTTCTGAAGAATAGTTACACACTCTCTTTCAACGAAAGTGTCCCATAAAGTGAATATTACGGTTTGGAAATGTTTGTCTATCAACACGACATCTTGAAAACCGACCTCAGTACCAAAATGAGTCTGGATAATTCGTTTATGTCGAACTTCTATAGCAACACCAATAACATCTGCATAAACTACAAGAAATTTAGCTGTTATGTATTTTACATGTATTAATTACTATGGAATGTTACGTTAAAGTAATATTTGTACAAATGATATGGTAGTATTTTTTACTTATGTTTGTATTGCTGTCCATATGATGTTCAAGGGCATGGAATGGAGTGAGCTCATATTTAGAAAACAAACAGTCCAAATTATTTTCGGTCAGCTCCTCAACTCATGTGCGTTCTGTTATATTCCAAACCTTTTCTTCTTCTATAGTTTTGAAAAAACTTTTGCTATCTTTCACGGTTGCATTCGAGATTATGTATGTCTTCTCGAGCTTTATGTCACGGACTTGTTGTTTTCTCCAAGCACCGTGCGACACTTAGTGTCTCCAACTTCCGCCATTGCGGTTTTTACACTAAGTCAGCCTCCCACTCCAGCATTGAGGTCTTAGAACGGCACCGAGTAGAACACTTAAG